TCCATCCTAAAACTTGCCTCGGGCCGGCACTGTCTGTGATCATCGTTAATTTCGAACTTTTACCAGCATTTACTCGGTATATCTTAGGTTTTAACTCAGAGACATGGTAAATGTTGAAAAAATAGTCCCCGCTACCCGCACCGCCGCCTTCGCTCGCCGCATTCCATCGTTTGACACGTTAGAACGACACGTTAACCCTAATCCTGTTTGGCATTTCGCTGACTAAAAGTTATTTATGAATCAAGATGAGTGTGAAACGGAGATTTTATGAAAGAATGGACGAGCCCGTGGCAAGCAAGAAAGATAATAACTTTTATCTCAATAGGGACAAACACGCAAAGTGTTTGGAGGAAATAAAAGATGCAAAGAACATGAAAACGAAACTATCTGTTCATTACAGGCGTATAAAGCGTTACGACATTTTGACTATAGGCGGCGAAGAAAAACTAATTACGCCTATGAAGGAGGAGAATGGAGAAATAAGATATTACATTTGTTACAAGGATTTATTCAACATTCTCGAAGAAACGCATGTTGCTGTTAGCCACGGTGGGAGAACACGGATGCTTAAGGAATGTAACCGCAAGCATAAAAATGTAATAGTTGAGGCTACTATGACATATTTGAAGCTATGTCAATCTTGCCAAAAGAAACAGAAGACTTTGAAAAAGGACATTGTCGTCAGACCTATACTTCACAGTGAAATGAACTCACGCTGTCAGGTTGATCTAATAGATCTACAAACTACCTCAGATGGAAATTATAAATTCATTTTAGTTTACCAAGACCATCTTACCAAATCTGTGATCCTTCGTGCGTTTCAAACTAAACGCTCCGTAAAAGTTGCATACCATCTATTCCGATAATGGTCGGTTTTGCATACCATCTTCATTCCGATAATGGTCGAGAATTCTCTAACCAAGTTATTGAGAATTTATGTTCCATGTGGCTGGATGTAAAAATCGTACATGGAAAGGCAAGACAGCCAAAATCAAGGATCAGTGGAGCGTGCTAATCAAGACAGAAAATATGTTGAGTACGTGGATGGAAACCAATCAGTTATCAAAGTGGTCAGAGGGTTTAAGATTCATCCAGGCGATGAAAAATAGAGCATATCACGAGGGAATCAAATGTCCCCTCTACAAAGCAATGTTTGTTTGTCCAATGAAAATGGGCCTTGAAACTTCAGCAATCCCTAGTGATATGATTAGAGTTATAAGATTTGAAGAATATTTAGAGAAGTTGTTGCATTTGCGTGACAATATGGAACAAAATAATGACATCGAAAATGCAATCGAACAAGACAAGGAAGAAAGCATCGTTGAAAATGAGTCAGAAGGGGATATAGACAATAGAACTGTCAACGATAAAACAGAAGAAGATGAAATGATTATTACTGAGATGAAGGTGAAGCAGAGAAATACCGATTCAGAGACAGAAAACATGACTGAGTCTCAGGAAGATCTTGTAACTATAGAGCCAATACCAAAAAAAATAGAATCTATAGTGACTATAAGAAACAATGCAAAATTGAGTTTGGAGAAACAAACTGAAAAAAAATGAAAGCCAAGTCTGTTGATAAATATCCAAATGTGAAAATTGGCCAAAATGTATGACTGAAATTGCCTGAAATTGAATGAATATCATGACTGAAATTGCCTGAAATTGAATGAATATCATTCAATTTCAGGCAATTTCATCTAAAACCGACCGAAAAACGTTATTGCAATTGTAGTAGATGTAAAGGACAACGAGTTTTATCAACTAGGTACCAAAATTGGAGTACTAAAGCAGCTTTATACACAAAATCAATTTACCTTATGCCCTGAAGACTTTATCAAGATAGAAGAAGTTGTTAAAGATAAAGAAGTGAGTCTTCGAGAAGTTGTCGCAAAATTGTCTTTGACCAGAGGACAAGGTTTCAAGAAATGCAACTGCCTAAAAAAATACATAATGAAGAAGTGCGCTTGCAAGTCATCAGGATTACTTTGTAATTCTAAATGCCATGATAGCTCTCCATGTTGTAACAAGTAAAATCCTTTTTTACTTTTATTAAATAACATGAATACCAAATGATTAGAAAAAATACTGTGATTACTGATTAGCTTACTTATTTTACCATTACCTATTTATTAAACAGATATATTATACACAGAACATTATGTACAAAACTTTCATTCACAATATATAGCAATATAACAGTTTTAAACATTATAAAAGAGCTTCTTGTCTTGAAAATTGTTGAAACTAATATCTCGAATACTATAGTAGAGATAACAGAGACTTATCACAAAGCTACTGGTAACATTAAAATCATAGATTGCATTCTGATGATAGAAGTGTCATTTTTATGTTACCAGTAGCAGTGCGATAAGTCTCTGTTATCTCTACTATAGTATTTGAGATATTATCTATTGATATTGAGAAATCTTGATAAATTACATCGAAAATATAATTATTTTCAATTTATCCACATCCTCATCTGTAATTTAAAATTATCATGTTATTAAATTTTTTTTATAAACCAAATATACTTTTTCTTTCTTTATACATGATATAAAATTAGAAAATGTAATTATGAATAATTTTTTTTGACAGAACAGTGGAAAAAAAAAGTTACAAAAATGCTTGAAGACGGTAAAACTGCCTATCCAAATAGATAAACCAACAACCTCTCGCCGTAATACGACTGTAGCGCCAGCTGTTGGCTACCTGACATATTAATTCTATTTTAATGCATAGCTCAAGGACCAGTATATCTATCGACTCAGGTACTACTGTGGCATTGATGTTAATGTATCAGAAATATTTGATATCATTTGCTAATGGTAAATGCTTTCAAATATTACGAATTTTAGGGGACCACCAGGCCGAGTGGATAAAACCACTAAACACTGTTAGTTCGTCGTGGGTTTGCGCTTAGCCAACGAGCTGGCTGCGGTTTCACCTCGTTAGTAATACCTAAATAGGGACCAATTTCCCTTAAAAGACCTCTTGGGAGGCATTCTCCTTCAGATCTCCTATGTGTGTTGCGTTGCCATAACCAAATACACTAGACGAAATTTAGGAATTTTTCATGAATGGTTCCAGAAACATTCGTTCCTCGCCCCGTTGTTGGCCTGTCCGAACCAGTGATGGGCCTGAAAAATGGACTCTCTTTTTGGTTGCAGAATGGTGTAGTGCTTCGCCACTTATTGGTTGTTGTTAGTAATGTATGTGAATATTATTTGTATAGTTAATATTCTTTGTACTGTACTTAGCGTAAGTTTTATTATGTCACTCTGTATCGGGTTTTCTTTGTGTTTGTCGTCCGTTTGGACACGTGTCCTCCTTACTTTCTACCTCCCTCCTTTGTGTGAAAGCGGACCTCTGGATTGGCTACCCAAGAGCGGTAGACTGCCTCCTTGACCGTTCGGTTATCGGGCTGTCGAACCCAAGGAATGGGTCAAGGGGCATGGCACCACCAAAGGAAAAGGTGAAAAAACACTAGTAAACTTTCCAAAAATATTTTCCTAATCAAAATTATATTTTATTATTACAGTAGAACCTCGAAAACTCGGCCTAATGTGGACCGAAGGGTGGCCGAGTTTGTGAAAATGCCAGGTTATCGGGAATGGGGTTAAAAAAAAAGAAGTACGAGTGTTTCCTCAGAAAATACTGTACTGTACTTGTATGTATTGTTTACTTGAGAATACAACAGAGAATAAACTGCCCAAATACCCTTAAACAAAGGAAAAGTATGTCCTTTATGAAGGCATAGAGCCTTTACTACATGAAAATGAAAATTAATGAATACACTGTGTACAGTAATTTACCTGATAAGACAGACCTCAGAAAAATACTTTATGAGGCATAAAGCTGTCTATAATGAAAATTAATTAACTAAAAATTTTTTTGCCCTGCCAGGGTGTGGCCGAGTTATCCGGACTGCCGGGTTATCGAGACTCTACTGTATTATTATTTATATTGTGTCCTATGTTCTATTTGTATATTACTTATGAATTAATGGTTACATAAGGTAAGAATTTTATTCAGTTCTCATTAAAAATTTTATTGTTCAACTCGACTATCCAAGATTAAATCTTTAGTATACCATTGACCAATGATTACTGGAGCACACAGGATTTAATGCGACATTACAATTGGCCAGTGGCGTTTAATTTTAATACTGAAGCCGCCAACTAAATACTTATAGTTATTCGGTGGATGTCATTCATCAGATCCAAGTTTTACACGGGATCTCTTGTTTTCTTTTTTAAATTACATAAATTATTTCTAGAAATAATAGTAATTCAAATACCATTGTCACCTCTTTCGATATAACGTGTAAATACGAAGTGCTTATTTTATTTCGACCACTCATTTCTTTCATATCACCGCGAACGATCTTCGTTAAACCAAAATGCTTCTATTTTCATATCGCGCGTCTGGAACCATCTCGGTAAGATGTCGGGCACAAACTATTCAATCACGATCATGTGACCGTCACCCCGCTTTAATAACATAGTTTATTTTTAAAACTTACCGAAGAAATTGAATTATTTTCTTGAAATTAATTCTTAGGCATTAAAATCTTATTTTAATTTCTTAAGTTAGAGATCTATTATCATTATTCATTAAAAAGTTTAAAACATTCTCGGAAATTGCCAATTTAATTAATTAATTAAATTCTGCATAAATCTTAAATAATTAACTAGTGAATAACATATATAATCACGTGATGGAACGAATGCAATAAATTATTTTTGTGAAATACTAATAGAGACCTTTGTCTTTTAAATGGTTTTGAAACTTTACACGCAGCGATAAGAAAAATGGAATATGATTTTTTCGGGTGATAAATCTAAACCTTAAAATCGATTTTTAATCTTATTAAGCATAAAATAGTTATTTAAAATAATATCTAGTTTAAAGTATGTTTTATAATTATGAACTGATTTTTAGTTGTGTAGATAATCAATGTACTGTACATGTTGAAAAAATGAATAAACAACAAAGCATTTGTATTCCAAGGCTGCAGTTTTATTCCTTAGAAGATAAACATTACGGTACAAGAATGATATAACGAATCTGACAGAATATGCTAAATACAGTGTCCATGTGTTTACCAATTTCAATTTGTGAAATTCTTCCAACTGGATTTTTATTTTTTAATCACAAGTTTTGTAGAAGGACCTATCAGGCATTCTGCTGTGTTCCACTCTCGAGCAGAGGTTGTCGAGCGGATTCGATTTCAAAAAGGCCATTTTCATGCACACAAAAGTAAATTTCTTGAGAAAAAGGAAGAATGGACTTTTTCTTAAACAGAAACAAAATATCAACGTAATTTTCTCAGTTAAAATTGAATCTAGTTCGCAAAACAGCAGCAGAATGCCGATCTACATCTGCTAAATTGTTTGATATGCTATGTACATGGTACGCTATTCAGGCTTCTCTTGTACCATTTTAATCTCCGATAAGATACATCACTGCCCGAATCAGGTACTTATAATAAGAAACTTTGGAAAAGACATTAAAAAAGGAGACAAAATTCAATAAATAAATAAATAAATAACATTACAAAAATGTCTTCTTTTTGCACGTCTTTTAACACTGTTTATAATACTTTACTTCGGTATTAATCTAGTCAACATTAAGGATACAATTCATACCCTTATCAAAACACATCGAAAATAAATACAGTATCTATGTGCACAAGCTCAGTTTTATAGATACAACATATATCAAAAATCATAAACTAGAACAGTATTTAAAAATTTATTTTATCATCAGTAATAACTTTTATAATAAGTGGTATCAACCATCGCAAACGGATGCCGTGATTTTTTTTTAAATATTTTACAACATTATTCATTCTTATACAAATACGACTCATGGTTAATGATTATTTAAACTACTACTCCATTCCTACCACGAGCTGGAGAACAGTTTGAACCGTAACCAGTCCACGGTAATTAAAAAAAAAACAATGATGATGAAAGTGTAGATGATGCAGTCATTACAAATATTTCTTTTATGGATACTTTACATAGTATTTAGGATTTACCAATCCATTTCCATGCATTAGTTATTTTTTTTGTAGTTTCCAAAACAATTTCCGAGCTGATATAAACATACGAATAAACCGTTAATTTTTTATGGTTTCAAATAAAGGATGGTATTATTTGATAGGGTGATATACAAAGTACGATTTATAAAACGTTTTTCTCAAAATCACGTTTCTTGTGAGCACTAAGATTATAGAAAGTATGTAATAACTGAGATGATAAGTATGGACTAATTTGGTCACCAATTCTCCAGTTCGCTTTCTATCGATTATGATTCATCTAAGGATGAAATATTAGCATAAAACTACGTTATTGTGACCTAAATATTTTTCCTAAACCGAGGTAAGTATATAATTTCTCGCGATCTAATTATCTTGATGTGCTTTTTCCCCTAAGATGGCATGACTAACTTTTTAAATAGGAGCTATATTTATATAACTTAAGATATTTAAATTGAACTTCGCTTGTATTGTTAGCCGAAAATGTAATATGTGCAGAAATTATGCTACAGAATAATTAGAAATAAGTATTCTCTTAAGTCTATGTACAAAATTCTTTTAACGTGGATAAGCAGAATTTAAATGCGACGGATCCAACTTGGTATCCCTTCAGCTCAATTGTAACTCTTCATTTATCGAGTTGGCATCCAGTTTGAAGCACTTGATAAAGATCTCAATCAACCCATATCTTTCAATGAGGATGACACACTACTAAATTTAATGTAGATTATAAAAACATTCTTAAATGTTCCATTTTCTTATCTCACTTATGAGCTGAAACTATGCCTTGTGTATGCCCTGAGATCTTCTTTACATTGAAACCAAATATATATTAGCAAATTAAATTCCAATAATTCAAATATACAAAAGCCTTTTTGAAAAATTTCAGCTTATTATTTTTCGAGATTTTTATTTATTTATTTATTATCCAAAAAGAACTATTTGGAAGTTGGACACATTTATTATAATACAGTATATATGAAGATCTCATTGCAACTACAAGACCTGTACAAGCACAACATTGTAGTCAATATTACACAATTTCAGTGTAGAAAACATTTTTTTTTAAAATGTGCTGTTTTGTTTAAACCCCCTTCAATATGGGTAGTAACAGTCTACGAAAGTCAGCAAATGCTTCTAAATCAATCTCAGATATCATACTGAGCTATATATATTTATATTTATATATATATATAACCATTCTTAAAGTGAGCATTGAACTGCAAAACCTTTAACTTAAAATTTAAATTTCCCTTTCTTCCATACCTGCTATTGAGTGAATGGTGGCAGGTTTATGGACTTGAATGTAACAAATAATAATGCTGACAAACATTGCACAAACATGGAACAAAATGACAGAGGGTGGTTAAGTACGTAGGTAGTGGAATGTTAACATCTTCTTTAATGCAGTTGGCTACTTCGTAGACTAAATTTTCTTTTCATTTATACAATTGGTGATGTCGAAAATATGTCATCTCTGGCAAGATCCATTGTCAAGACACAATTAGGACACCACACACTACAGAAAGTGTGTTCAAGGAAATTTCACAAAATAAATCACAAAGGAGGCAGCAATTTGCTCTATCTTGCTCGGGTAAAAATAGTATTCTGGATACTACATACCATTAAAGCATTCCTAGTAAATTTCACCATGTATTGTTCACTATGTATACATACTGGGTAGTTAAGCTCGTTAAAAGTACAGTAATACTGTAGTAGTCAAGCTGTAATAAGTACAGTTGGCTAATAATACTCAAATATTGATTTTTTTTTCAAGCAACCAGCTGTTGCTTGATTTCTTAGGTGATGGAAATTTTAAATAATAACTAATAGAAACATATTGTGATTTGGCATTTCTGATTCAGATGCATTTTTCTTTTCATGAATATATTCATAGTGCATGCCTTGGTCACCACAAAATATTCTACTATCTTGCCTGAAGAATTAAATTTTCTTAAATTTCTTAATTACTGTTGAACATACAAAGATGATGAGTTAGCCAGTGCAAAGTTATAAGGACAATTTCTTGAAATGGTATAAAATTAAATAAGAACTACAGAGGAAAATGTTTTCTAAAAATTCAAATTGGAATAAATTATTTCTATTCACTTATAAATAAATAGCCTAAACTAATATTTATAAAGTGCCTGATGTTAATGCATATGTTATTTTAATGCATATATGTTATTTTAATGGAAGGGCTTTAATAATTACATTATATTTTTCCTATAATGTGAGGATAATTAAGACAAACTGCAAAATTTTCAGATGAAAAGCTGAAAATCTGCTAATTTAAGGACCTATATGATCATCAAATAGTTTGCTAAACAAAGTGATCATACCAGCTCTTACTTTATATTTTCAATGTCATCAATTGTTAATTATGGAAATTTCATTTTTTCATTATATATAATTCTTCAATGAAAAATGGCTATATTAGAAATATTGCAGAATGCATTGAAAGAAAAGTACTTTTCTAAATGGAGAGAAAGACCGACAATTTATATATATATATATATATATACATGGCAATTTCTGTACAGACACTGTCTAGCACAGTGTTTTCTTTTTCTTCTTTTTTTGGCTGTTTCTTGAGAGATAACTTTGATCAAGTTAACATGCAACAAAACTCAAATGCTATTATATTCTCAAACTTTATGTAACAGTTAAATCAGTGCAATTATCTCCTACTTAGTTTTTAAAACATAAAATGCTGGCAGGAGATATGCACATAATTATTCTAGTCAAAACTAGAACCGAAAGGCTGCCAGTAGGCTCAATCCCATAAATGGAAGGCTCTGGATCTGGCACTTATTACTGAGGTCATATCAGCAGGAATATCTCTATATTTTTCTAAGCACAAAAATGCTTATGCAATTCATCTATCATTTCTAACTTTTTACAAAACCTGCCAGACCACATTCAAAAATCACATGGGGAAGATGTAGTGCAAAAGTCATAAAACCTATGAGTCATAAAATGGTTTTAACAGAATGTTCAAATGACATTAGCAAAAAGTAATATCTGGAATAATAATAATAATAAAGTGCTGGAGCTTCTTAACTATTTGGAATATCTACACAACAAGTTCAATAAATATTCTGGAATAAAGCTCAGGTTTATGGGTCTTATCCTTGCAACTAGACAAGGCAATGGATAATTGGGGTTTAATATCTCTGTAGCTGGTAACTCAAGGCATGAACTTGTTCCCCATTGTCCACTTATTCTGTGGTTTCTGGAAAATAAAAAAGAAGTTGATATAACAAATATTTTATAATAAAATAAATATTTTGTTATTTCAATACAATACATTAAATTAATATAAATTTCTAAGCATGTGATCATTAGAAAACTCTAAAAAAATACTATAAAAGATTAAAGGATATTATTAATTTTTTATAAGTAAAAGCTAATGTTTATGTGTAGGATTGAATTTGTATACAATGTATACTCCTTAAAATATCTTGTAAATCAATTAGAAGGTATTTGTTTATATTTGTGAACATTAGTTCTTAAATTCATATCAGATGAAACCTATTTTGTTTATCTTGAAAATGATTTATGGTCAGTAAAAAGGTCTCATCTGATTCTCCATTCATGACTTCCTATGTACTTTTGTTAATATAAACAAAATTAATATACCTTCAGTACTTTTGGAATAAAAGGGTTCAAGGGACTTTTGACTCAAACTGTACAGATATCCTCTGTATAACATGGTAGTTGGGTTTCAAAAACATGCCATGTTAGGCAAATCTGTACTGTATGAAACTTAGGGTAAGGATCCAAAAGATAGCAAAAGTACACAATTCCTTTTTGTAATTAAGAGAAATATGTTTATTAAAACAATCAATAATTAACTAACAATCACAATCAAATGTATTGTACTGTACATTAATAATTTTTTACTCATTGCTAAACACCATTAAACAAAGATGTTTTCTTTTTGACAAAATATCATTATCTTCTGAACTTTCCTGTTGTCCTTAATCTGAAGTATCAGCAAAATCTTGATTTTTCTCTACTTTTTTCATAAAATCTGATATTTTCATTTGCTGGCATTTACCTAAGATATCTTTAAAAATTTAATATTTTTATGTAGTTACTTTTAATTTAATCTATAAAAACAAAACACAGTTATAGTCTTTGGGTTCATTTAGAGCAGTGTTTCTCAACCTCTAATGAATCATCATCCCCTTCAATAAAACCATTATGTAGTATTGCCCCCTTCACTTTGAAAACAATTTTGTTGGGTTTATTAATTCAATTTTTTAGAAAGTATTTAATTATCAAATAAACATTCATTTACTCAGAATACATATTAGATTTTGATATAATTAACAAAATTTAAATTAAGTGTTATTCGCTGTGAATCCCCGCTGCAAGCTTTGAAATTCCGATGCCAAGGGCCGAGGCTAACGCAAAATTAGTATTGCATTAAATAGACTAGTCACTAGTATAATGTTATTTGTTTAATTATTGTATGATATAACAAATAAATAAAATATCTAATTATTCTTAATATAATGTTTTACTATATTGCCTAGAAAATTGTTTTTCGTCCCCCAAAATATAAATTGTTACTAATCGCCCCCCAATATGGAAAAATGCCCACATGGGGTGATAAGAAACACTGATTTAGTGCAACATCACCAAGGACAGTGATATCTGGTTTATAGGAAATCTAGAATAAGGAGCTAGGACAAGGAAGAAGAAAAATTGTAATCAGTTCTCATTAAAGAAAACCACGCAAAAGGCATGAAACAATATTAAAAATTTCAACATTCTAAAATCCATGGGCAAATATGAGACAACATACATGCTTACTTGAATAAAAATAATATCACAGTATGGTGTTTACACTTAAAAATTGTGATGTTTTATATGGGGATGTCTTCAATTTTCAAACTATGTTAGAGTGCAATTGTGTTGTAAGAACACTATATTGTACTCCTGTAAGTATACAGGTATTCCTTGTACAATATAGTCCCTGTCATGTGTGACAAATATGTTCCAAGACCTCTCATCTAAGTGAGTTAGTGAATCCATTCACTATTAAGTATTTCTCATACTAACATACCTATTGCACATTTTTTTTATATAAATAAGGCAAATAAACACTATATTAACAATAAATAGCATGATATCACAAATAAACAATTTTAAAACCTTTTTGGAAGCAGACTTTTTCTTTTCTAACTAAATCTAAAATTTTAAGATTATTCTTTAAAGTAGGAACTTTTACAGCATTTGTTTGACTTAGAGTTACCACATCATTTGAATTTTGCAACAATGTTTGCAAAGCAATTAGCATAAATGAGACAAGAGAAACACCAATATCCCATGAACACAATGTGTTGCAAGCAAGAACTCCAGATAAAGACTGATGTTTATCCCAGAGTTTAGTGCAAAACAAATAAATGAGTCAGAGTAATGATTTCCCAGAACAAGAATGAGTGTGAATATGTGAGGTGTTGCAAGACTTCAAGCACCTTAAAATGGCATGGATTTAGTGTGCAATTACAAATTTCTATTTCTATCTTTTTTTTTTTTGGATTGCCAATAGCATAAACCTGAAACTGCATATGGCCAAGTCCATACATGGTAGTATATTGTCTTATTGTTATATATATACAGGATGTTAGAGTTCAATGTATATAGGTCAATGAGATGAGCATTTTTTATGAAGCAACTTAGGGTGAAAAATAAAAATTAGCAAAGCTACAACCTGCAGAAAATTTGGAGATGCCACCTCCCAACTGCTTCTAGGGATATATAGAGTATAATGTATGAAACACCAATGAAAACAAAGGAAGAATTTCCATCTTTATCATTTCAGCTTTTGCCACTATCAGAGATCAACAAACACTCTTTGATAGAGTATGACAAAACATGGTTTATTGTCAGACTCTGTGTAGTGGAAGTTGGCAGTTTCTACTTTGAACACTTATTGTAAATACAGTGAGTGATTGGTTAACAAACAAATCAAATAACGAACACTTTTGCAAAAGATTTTTATTTTCGGATAATGAACACATGATTGGATAACGAACACATCACAGAACAAACACAAGAAGTGACGTAAAATAATGAATACCGATTGGTCTTCCCTTGTCTTCAGACAACAATTCAAAACTTTTAAGACCGTGGGAGACATTGACATCAACGCTCAACCCAGTACATACTGATCAGATAGTATTCCTCCGAACTTTGAAACTCTCCCTTGTAGTTCCAGCCTTTTATTTTTCTGACAGAAACAATTATTTTATAGTATTCACGAGACTGTTGGGCAGGCACTCGTTAAGTTTTGCATTGGTCTTTATTTTCAAAAGGTGAGAGTATAATATCATAGGTAGAGAGTGGGCAGATGTCTGATGTCTGTTGTTGCTGGGCAGTATGGCTTGAACAGGTCTACAGTAGACCGCAGTTCAATCTTATCTAAGAAAGATACTGTATTATCAAGAAGACTCAAGCAGTTTAAGGAGTAACAAAAATCATATCTGAGAAATAAAGAACATTGAAGAGCTCATAATGGAATCTGAAACTGATCTGACGACAGAAGAACGCCAAGAACTCTTGAATGAAGAACACCAAGAAACTCGGCAAGATATGTTTTCTTCTGAAAAAGAGAATTAATGTCAATATCTGCTATTAAACATTTTTTTGAAGAAGTGGGATGATGTCAGAATGACGGTATTAGAATGGCATCCAAACCAGGTTGAGGTTAATAGGCTTAGTTACTAATAGTAACAATAGCATTGTAATCTACAATTACAATGCTATTAGTTGCTTCTGAAAAACTTTGAAGAGAGAATAGCAATTGACATTGGACAGATTCTTTAACCCCCACAAACGGAAAAAACGTGACTAATAAAAATGCAAGACTGCATATGTATGTATTTTTACTATTACATATAAATAAATGTAATACATAAAAAATATAAAAATAAAATATCCAGAAAATAAAAACGTATATATTTTTTTATTTTTTGGAGTCTCCAGAACGAATTAATCAAATTTCCAAAAAACCTATGGTAAATCGATAATCGGTTAACGAACAATTCGGATAACAAACAAAGTCTTGGAACGGATTATGTTCGTTAACTGATCACCCACTGTAAAAGAAAAATATCAGTAAATGTGTTGGGCCCGAAAAACGTCTCAGCAAATAAGAAATTCCCAAATAAAAGTTGATGATAGAATTGTCAAGTGTCTGCATATGCACCTAGTAGTGATAACAAATTAATCAATAAAGTTTTTTTACTGTACTAAATGTACTGAACCCAGCGGAGTAGTGTGGGTGTCAGCCACCCGGGGCAAAAGAAAATTTCGCCGTCCCATTATTTAGGTATCTCAATTTAAAAGACTAAAATTCAGTTTTGTAATAGAAGAACAAGTAATAAAAATTTCCTTGTGTAGCCACCTGTTCAAAATAGCTCCATTGAATATTGGAGGTGTATATGAAAACAAACGAATCGTACAGAAAAAAAAAAAAAGGTCGACAGGCTGTGTGCATGGGAGAAATTAACAGTTCACCCGGACGGTGAGTCTATTCCCGAACTATTTTGTGCTCATTTCAATCGGTCTGAATTGTAGGTGCAACAAGACTATGGGATAAAATGGTTCAAATTTTTACAAGATATTATTATTATTATTTATTGTGAAATTTTGCCATCCCCTAAAAGGTAATTTTGCTACCCCCACTACACTACGCCACTGACTGAACCTAGTATTCATTATCCCAAAACACTTACACAATGAGACAGAGAAAGTAAATGTACAGGCATGATGATGGTTGCCTACCATACAGGTGTGTGTAAATTTTCTGCAACACACTGCTCCACTAAGTTTTGTTTCTAACACTAGGTTGCTTCATAAAAAATGCTTATCTCACACCAAACATTAACTCTCTGTATATATATTTTATACTCTGGCAGCTATGAAATTATATTAGAATATAATACAAATTCAATTGATATACAGTAGAGCATCAATTATTCGAATGTCAATCAACCAAAATGTCAATTAACCGAAAGCTTTCCAGTCAGCAAATTTAAATTTCCGCTAGTGCTATGGCGCTGCAATCTTTGGCTATGTCTTGGGCTACTCCAATGTTATTTTTGTTGGTGTGTATTTTTACCTGGTAGCACTGGCACAACCATGAGAGGGTACTTAAGGACATGCCAGGATTTGAACGAATTTCAACATGGGATAGGTTAATATATTTTTTTGTACATA